TCACACAGGAAGAGACATATACACATTCACACATGGGGAGAAAGGTACATATTCACATAGAAAGAGACATATACACATTCACACAGGATGAGAAAGGTACATATTCACATAGGAAGAGAAAGGTACATATTCACACAGGAAGAGAGCAGGACATATTCACACAGGACGAGTGCGGTACATATTCAACCAGGAAGAGAAAGGTACATATTCACACAGGAAGGGAAAGGTACACATTCAAACAGCAAGAGAAAGGTACATATTCACACAGGAAGAGAAAGGTACACATTCACACAGGAAGAGAAAGGTACATATTCACACAGGAAGAGAAAGGTACATATTCACACAGGTAGAGAGCAGGACATATTCACATAGAAAGAGAAAGGTTCATATTCACACAGGAAGGGAAAGGTACACATTCACACAGGGGGAGAAAGGTACATATTAACACAGAAAGAGACATATACACATTCACACAGGAAGAGAAAGGTACATATTCACACCGAAAGAGAAAGGTACATTTTCTCGCTGGAAGAAAGCGGTACATATTCACACAGGAGGATAAAAGTATATATTCACACAGGATGGGAGCTGTAGATATTTTCACATGGAAAGAGAGGAACATATTCCCACATGGAAAGAGAGGTACAAATTCACACAGGATTAGGGCGGTACATATTCACACAGGAAGAGAGTGAGGTACATATTCACACAAGAAGAAAGCCGTAAGTCTTTACACAGGAAGGGAGAAGTACATATTCACACAGGAATAGAGAGAGGGATATACTCACATAGGAAGGAAAAGATACATATTCACACAGGACGAGTGCGGTACATATTCACACAGGAAGAGAGAGGTACATATTCACACAGGAAGAGAGAGGTACATATTCACACAGGAAGAGAGAAGTATATATTCACACAGGAAGAAAGCCGCAAGTCTTTACACAGGAAGAGAATGGTACATATTCACACAGGAAGAGAGAGGTACATATCCACACAGGACGAGTGCGGTACATATTCACACAGGAAGAGAGAAGTACATATTCACACAGGAAGAGTGAGGTACATATTCACACAGGAAGAGAGAAGTACATATTCACACAGGAAGAGAGAGGTAAATCTTCACACAGGAAGAAAAAGGTACATATTCACACAGGAAGAGAGAGGTACATATTGACACCGAAGAGAAAGGTACATCTTCACACAGGAAGAGAGAAGTACATATTCACACAGCAAGAGAGCCGGACATATTCACACAGGACGAGTGCGGTACATATTCACACAGGAAGAGACATATACATATTCACACAGGAAGAGAGCAGGACATATTCACATAGGAAGAGAAAGGTACATATTCACACATGAAGAGAGAGGTACATCTTCACACATGAAGAGAGAAGTACATATTCACATAGGAAGAGAAAGGTACATATTCACACAAGAAGAGAAAGGTACATCTTCACACAAGAAGAGAGAAGTACATATTCATACAGCAGGAGAGCCGGACATATTCACACAGGACGAGTGCGGTACATATTCACACAGGAAGAGACATATACATATTCACACAGGAAGAGACATATACATATTCACACAGGAAGAGACATATACATATTCACACAGGAAGAGAGCAGGACATATTCACACAGGACGAGTGCGGTACATATTCACACAGGAAGAGACATATACATATTCACACAGGAAGAGACATATACATATTCACACAGGAAGAGACATATACATATTCACACAGGAAGAGACATATACATATTCACACAGGAAGAGACATATACATATTCACACAGGAAGAGACATGTACATATTCACACAGGAAGAGAGCAGGACATATTCACATAGGAAGAGAAAGGTACATATTCACACATGAAGAGAGAAGTACATATTCACATAGGAAGAGAAAGGTACATATTCACACAAGAAGAGAAAGGTACATATTCACACAGGAAGATAGCAGGACATATTCACACAGGACGAGTGCGGTACATATTCACACAGGAAGAGACATATACATATTCACACAGGAAGAGAGCAGGACATATTCACATAGGAAGAGAAAGGTACATATTCACACATGAAGAGAGAAGTACATATTCACATAGGAAGAGAAAGGTACATATTCACACAGGAAGAAAAAGGTACATATTCACACAGGAAGATAGCAGGACATATTCACACAGGACGAGTGCGGTACATATTCACACAGGAAGAGAAAGGTACATATTCACACAGGAAGAGAGCAGGACATATTCACATAGAAAGAGAAAGGTACATATTCACACAGGTAGGGAACGGTACATATTCAAACAGGAAGAGAAAGGTACACATTCATACAGGAAGAGAAAGGTACATATTCACATAAGAAGAGAAAGGTACATATTCACACAGGAAGAGAAAAGTAACTATTCACACCGAAAGAGAAAGGTACATATTCTCGCTGGAAGAAAGCGGTACATATTCACAGAGGAGGATAAAAGTAATATATATTCACACTGGAGTGGAGCTGCAGATATTTTCACATGGAAAGAGAGGAACATATTCCCACATGGAAAGAGAGGTACAAATTCACACAGGATGAGGGGGGTACATATTCACACAGGAAGAGAAAGAGGTACATATTCACACAAGAAGAAAGCCGTAAGTCTTTACACGGGAAGAGAGAAGTACATATCCACACAGGAAGAGAGAGGAACATATTCACACAGGAAAAGAGAGAGGGATATACTCACATAGGAAGGAAAAGGTACATACTCACACAGGACGAGTGCCGTACATATTCACACAGGAAGAGAAAAGTACATATTCACACAGGAAGGAAGCCGTAAGTCTTTACACAGGAAGGGAGAGGTACATATTCAAACAGGAAGAGATTGTTACATATTTACACAGGACGAGTGCGGTACATATTCACACAGATAGAGGTGCATATTCACACAGGAAGAGAGAAGTACAAATTCACACAGGAAGAAAGCCGTAAGTCTTTACACAGGAAGGGAGAGGTACATATTCAAACAGGAAGAGATTGGTACATATTTACACAGGACGAGTGCGGTACATATTCATACAGGAAGAGAGAGGTATACATTCACACAGGAAGAGTGAGATACATCTTAACACAGGAAGAGAGAAGTACATATTCACACAGGAAGAGAGAGGTACATATTCACACAGGAAGAGAGAGGTACATCTTAACACAGGAAGAGAGAAGTACATATTCACAGAGGAAGAGAGAGGTATACATTCACACAGGAAGAGAGAGGTACATATTCATACAGGAAGAGAGAGGTATACATTCACACAGGAAGAGTGAGATACATCTTAACACAGGAAGAGAGAAGTACATATTCACAGAGGAAGAGAGAGGTATACATTCACAAAGGAAGAAAAAGGTACATATTCACAAAGGAAGAGAGAGGTACATATTCACAAAGGAAGAGAGAGGTACATCTTCACACAGGAAGAAAAGGGTACATATTCACACGGGAAGAGAGAGGTACATATTTACACAGGAAGAGAGAGGTACATCTTCACACAGGAAGAAAAGGGTACATATTCACACGGGAAGATAGCAGGACATATTCACACAGGACGAGTGCGGTACATATTCACACAGGAAGAGAGAGGTACATCTTCACACAGGAAGAGAGAGGTACATCTTCACACAGGAAGAGAGAAGTACATATTCACACAGGAAGAGAGAGGTACATCTTCACACAGGAACAGAGAGGTACATATTCACACAGGAAGAGAGCGGTACATATTCACATAGAAGGGAGTGGTACATATTCACACAGGAAGAGAGTGGTACATATTCACACAGGAAGAGAGTGGTACATAATCAAACAGGAAGATAGTGGTACATATTCACACAGGAGGATAGTGGTACATATTCACACAGGAAGATAGTGGTACATATTCACACAGGAAGAAAGCCGTTAGTCTTTACACAGGAAGAAAGCGGTACATTTTCACACAGGAAGAGAGCGGTACATATTCACATAGAAGGGAGTGGTACATATTCACACAGGAAGAGAAAGATACATATTCACACAGGAAGATAGTGGTTCATATTCACACAGGAAGAAAGCCGTTAGTCTTTACACAGGGTGAAAGCGGTACATATTCACACAGGAAGAGAGCGGTACATATTAACATAGAAGGGAGTGGTACATATTCACACAGGAAGAGAGTGGTACATAATCAAACAGGAAGATAGTGGTACATATTCACACAGGAAGATAGTGGTACATATTCACACAGGAAGATAGTGGTACATATTCACACAGGAAGAAAGCCGTTAGTCTTTACACAGGAAGAAAGCGGTACATATTCACACAGGAAGAGAGCGGTACATATTCACATAGAAGGGAGTGGTATATATTCACACAGGAAGAGAAAGATACATATTCTCACAGGAAGAGAATGATTTATATTCATAGAGGAAGAGAGCGATATTATATTCTCAGAGGAAGAGAGTGGTACTTATTCACTCAGGAAGATAGAGGTATTTATTTACACAGGAAGAGAGAGGTACATATTCACGAAGGAAGATAACGGCGCATATTCAACAGGAAGATAATATACTGTTCCAGGGAAGATGTGGAAGGATGCAAATTACAGTATCCTAGACAAGGCCTCAGTAGGCCGCAACCCAGTGGGTCCTTAAGTCATCAGGTACAAAGATCTGATTCTTCTGCAAAACCGAATTAAAAGCTGCCTCAATAGGCTTGACCTTTTAGATCACCGTTCAAAGTGGCGTTAAGCTCAACGCCCTCACAGAGCTCGCCATTATTCTTTCACAGAGACTTCAGAACACATCAAACGACTAGCCCCTTTAAATTGAAAGTAATATTCAACTTGAAAATCACAATAACTTCATGCAATTCCATAACACATTGAATGAAAATAGCAGCATTTAAGGACGCCTCAGACATCTTAAGTGATTAACAATGTTTAGAGACAGTCTGACTTCAGGCTTGTTTATTGTTGAGGAAGGGCTCCTTTGCCTGGGGGTGAACAGGGATATCCTACACAATTCTCAGAGGACCAAAACTATTCCGATTTCTCCGTTACAATGTGCGCAGTAGGGAGTTGTCATATTTCCACCAAATGCTCTCGGAAAGCAAAGAGGTGAACACAATAGTCAGAATCTCTTTGGCTTGAGTCGTACACACGTGCTGACAACGAGGCCTTTTTTATCCGTCAGGCCTCCAACCCCCATAAGACGAGGGGGTTCCAGTGTTAAACAAAACGCTGCAAATATCAGTGTTTATTTCTCTGACTGACGAGGAATAGCCGGAATCACAACGATAATTGTCCAGATGCGAAACTGATCACCCATTTCCGTTTCAACCAGAGGCGACTTCTTGAAGAACAACACTTCTGGAGGAGTTGGCGGCAAGATACAATTTTGAATGATGGTGACATATTGACGGCGTTTTTTCGTTTTACCTTCAGGATTCGGGTTGTTTAGTTTGTTACGTGAGTATATTTTTTGTTTCCTTTGCACCTAATTGGTTATAACCTTGCTTTCTCACTCTTCCATACGCATTGAAAGCACATGGCAACCAGGAGTACGGGCCATGACTACGTCCGATGACTTTTGAGTTAAAACATGTTTTTTTTCAGTGGAAATGCACTTTTCTTAAAAATGTATTACATAGTGAAAGGTATAGGATGTTACCATGAAACAAACTACAAAAACTAAACGATTCCTAAGCTTTTGGAATAATGTCTGTTCTTGGAGAACGAGAATCTCCTTTTTGAAATTAGTATGAAACTAAAGTGTATGTATAAACCATTCATCTATAATTCATCGTGACATTTGGAATTGAAATAACACTTAACATACATGATCTCCCACCAAAAAGGTTCGTGAATCAGGCAGGCTAGGGTTTGCCGGCTAAAACCTCATTGGTGTGAACTGACGCATTGACAAGTGTCAGCTTGATAAGAACATTTTCTAGTTAAACACGATAGATATGACTTACCTGTATATTTTCTGGTGAAAATCCTTTTAACCTTCAAAAAGTCTCGTACTGCTTTGTACAGAAAATTAACAGGTATGATGCGTGATATTGTAAAATGCTATCTAATTTAATACCTGCTGATGATAGGTAAACGTTCTTGAGCTTGTTACCTTAAATGTAAGGTTAATTGTTCTGAATTATCTGAAATGTGACATCTGTGAGATACCATCATTGCATTAATGAATTATATTTGCAATACATTCCGAGTTAAATATAAAATGCCAACGCCAAACCATAACGAGTCTTCAACACAGATGTTATTAGGCCATTTTTGAATTTTGAATCTACATTTACACAAAATTGAAAAGTTTGGTAATTATGAAATGTTTATTTTCCATTTTGTTTATAACACTATTTTATGTTGAATAGTACATATTCTTTGAGAACATATAAGGTGACTTTGAGATATGATTCTTGCAATCCCCTTTGCATGTGAGTACCCCTTTGTTAAACAGGCTTAAAATGCATTGGAGTTTTTGCAGCTCCTTTCATTAAGCGATGTGCTTGTTTGAACGTACAACTACAGGGGACAGTCCTGTTTGCTGTAACTTTATAAACTCAGATGATTAAGTTTAAGTTTTCAATCAATCTCCTTCTACTTATTTTATTACATGATTGTTCTTTACCAATCATTTATTTCGTCACATCCCAACCTCAGAAATATACTACTCAAAAGAAATTAAAGAACACCCGTTGTTTCCCATATGATTAATATTTAATAAGTCATGGTGGTACAGATAAACGATTGACATATGAAACAAATTGGGTGTTCTTTAGCTTAGTTTGAATAGTCCACATAAAATATAAAGGATAGATTTGAATTTTCATCGTAAGACGAATAGTTAATAAGTAAGGACACAGTATAATATTTTAAAACGTTACTCGTATGAACACTTTGATTTAGAATGTAGTTCCTAGCTTCACATGATCCACTTGCAATTCATGTGGTAATTAAGAGGGAGTTTTCACATTGTTCGTTTTATTTATCTGCGGATTTCACTTCAATTACCATATTGTGTTGAAGGCGTAAGTGGGTCACTTGTGTCACAGTTTCAGACTGGAATGACGTACCACAATACGTGTATAAAATATGTAGCACTAGTTCTCACCACCTACTGTGAGGCAGGACCTTCAGAATGTATGCTATGCCATCTCCTCTTCAACAACCCTAATACAGTTATTGGTATGGTTAGAACACGTGTTAACCAGGTGAGCTGCAACAACGACCCCACCTCAACTCAAGGTGTCTTCTCCTCCTATAGGTTATACCCAAGGCCATTTTGATATATTCATATTTGTCTAAGCACTCATGATGTACACGCATACCGTGAAAGTGCTATACTAACATATGGAATACAGTTTCCATCCTCATGCAAAACACACATCGATGGTCAAAAAGCAGTAAGGGTAAATCTGTTCCGTCCCAAAAGATTACAGTGTGTAGAGGTAAGGCCACATACACATGTAGAGGTGCAAATGTGAATATTTGCACCACTTAAAATCATTAGATTTGATGTTGCGATGTTCATGCAGCTGCACTTGCAATACGTGCAGATGCACATTCAAGCATACGCCAATTGGCCTGTAATACTTCTGGTCACAATTCACGGATCAGATCCTGGCACAGACCTTATTGTAATGATGTCCACAGATGGGATGGGGAACATTCCCCGAGGGACCATGTATTTGTTGTTATTACAGAGGGAGGGAGGAGGCGGATTACACATAAGCAGCATGTTTATGTCAGGAATCAATGTGTGTGGCTTTGGGTGGGGATGTACTCACATTATGCTTCTTCCTATGTTCATGATACTAAGTATAACTTAATATGTGACACTGTAAATTAATACTTTATATTCTTCACTAACATTGGCACACATGGACACACGTGCACTATTACAGATTTTAGGAGATATGTTTTCAATGTTTCTACAGAGGAAATTCATAACACTTGATATGTTGGATTTTTAAACGAGTGCAAAAGCTTTGCTATCACATGCCATCTGTTTCTTCTTTCAGATATATCAAGTTGAGCTGGGTTAAAGTTTAAGTTATTGTAAGGAGACTGCAAGCTAAAAATAGACCCCAATTCTACGTTTTCACAATACCGTTTCTGTCTCTGTTTCTGAAAGCATGTTTCTCACGGAAAAGACAAATAGTCTTTTCCCATTACATGTTTTCACACATTGAAACCATTCGTGTCCTTTTCCGTTTCAGATAAAAATCAAAAGCGTACGTTGTATATACGTTAACTTGATAACCACGTACATCTGTAATGAAATATATAAATTATATGATGGTAGATATGTGTTTGATAAAGATAGCGTGTACAGGTACAGTTCGCTGCGTGACTAGTTATTCCAAATGACGATTTAAACCACGGACATTTTCAATCTGTTTTTTTAAGTATACAGCGAGACTCCGATTACGAAATACATCGCTTAAGACCACACACCTTTAAAGTTTCTTTTTTCTTTATCATTTTGTCTGTATCAGTAGTCGTATAAGTCGATATGTTTTATCAACCCATGCATATTCCGGTATAAAAATATATGGTTAGTTTACCTCAATAATAAAGAATCCTGAAGTATTCAACTTTCTTTTTAATATTGAGATTGTTGTGTTACTCATTACAAGAAACGCCGACTAGTTGAGTAAAGAAGGTGATCTCGCTTTGCAGGTGGAAACACTTCAGTCACATATCCATTTTCTTTTAAAAAATCAAGTGGAAGTACCTCGTTTGTCGCGAACACTGGATAAATTCCGATGATTTCGAGTTAATGACGTTTGACTGTTCATGACACTGAAATTTGATTCAAATTCATGGTATCTGTGCTGTACCAAGTAAAGAGAACCAAGAATTCTTGCATGTTAGGCGTCATGTTACTGGACTGTGTTCCTCTTCTTGTGGCAGACATACCACAAAGGAAACCCCTAATACATTGTTGTTTACAAAATAGCTGCAGTATTATGTTCTAGTCAGAGTTGGACCGCTATATTGACATATAACCGTGAGACATTAATAATCTGTTCTTTAAGTTAAGGATAAAACTCCTCTGTTTTGGTTGAAAGCCACGAGCTCGGGAAAAGCCCAAGGGCACACTTAAAGGGCACCTCTCCAGCACACTCAGAGATTTAGCTTAACATGAGTGCCATACTCAGACAATGTATACTGATTCTGAGCCGACTAGTTCTTAATGCTTCGCGCCAGCCAGTGTAATAACAAGTTCCATAATTTAACGTTTGTGTCATGACAATGCCAAGGCATCGAACCACCGACCTTCCGCTTCCTATCCACTATAGACCAAGGAAGCGGTCCCTTTATTAAGAATGCATAAACAAGTGTAATAATTGTAACATGATAATCTTCGGGGACGAAGACAAATTGTTACGCCAATGACGTATAACATGGGTTTTGCAGATTCACACCCAGGGTTTGTGCAAGGGATACTAGTTGGGGGACAAAATACAAGTTGATAAATTTGAAGAGGTCGTGAGATGCATAATGTCTTAAAGTGGAAAATACGCAGATAATTTGTTGACATTTATCCCGCCGCCGATAATAACAACTTAATAACTACAAATGTATGTGAAGAGCTTAGAGCTAAAAGGGGCCAAAATGCACTTTGGCCCTTTTGCATATTATTGCATAAATAACATCTATGATTTCTTGTCTACATGTAGAAAAAGGATTGCATGTTTTCACTGATGCGTTTTTGAAATATAGCTCCTTAAAATTATATAAAAGGGCCAAAGTCAAGTTTCAAAAGGGCCAAAGTCACTTTGCTAGATTTTGGCCCTTTTAGCTCTCATTTCCGTGTTCGGTTGAGACTGCTTGTCTGAGAGAGATTTTGAAAGTTTGTCACCTTATTATACTATTTCAACTATTTCAACAATGTTGGCATTGGTTTAAATCATTTAAAAGTACTTCAATAGTATGTGTTTGTACTTTCAGTAGTAGTTTATCAATCTCACATGTTAAATCCTATCCAAATGCCTGAGGGTCAAAAAGGGCCAAAGTACAGACACTGGCCCTTTCCACCCTTACACAAATTAAAAACGTAAGTTTATTTCCTTTTTTGAATGTTTTTATAACAACATTTATATCTCTGCTGTCAGAATGGGTTAATGTCTAGGAATTTATCGGTAAAAAAGGTTGGTTAACATGCATAATATTATGTGTTTTCATCACTTTTCTCAAACCAGACTCCACATGACATTGGCCCTTATGTCTCCAAGCTCTTCGTGTGTTAGCCATCTTGGAAGGGATGAATGATGTCGTTAGGTTTGTTTAGTTATATTATTTTATGACCTTGTTTTTGTTGAGTGATATTCTAATACTGAATGCTACATCCGTTTGATACAATGACAGAGACATATAATATCAATAAAATGTACGAATCTACATCAAAATGTACGAATCTACATCAAAGATCTGCTGTTGCCTGTTTTTCTGAACTTTCTTTCCCTATCTATCCTTATCCCGAAGGTACCATGCGGTACATATCATGACCGTATGTTTCATGTGAACTACTTATCTAGGCCAAAGTATGCAGTTAATGGAAGGATTTGTTTGGGAACGCGTCTTCCATCTTCTTAACCCCCTTCCTAGTGACTACAAACGTCGTGTAGGTTAAGTAGTATGAGTATCCCCTGCACCAGATAAACCGAGGTTCTATTTAGTAAGCCCCAGTTCCCGACCTCTCACACCGCTATCTACTTGTCGTATTCACATGTCCGACACAGCAATAACACTGGTCGGTGTAAGTGTTACAATGTAATGGGGCATATGGAGAGGATAAGTACCTGACCTTTACCAGGTGTCCGAGAAGGCTGGCAGATATTTCAGTGGTGTGCCACAAGGTGGTCTGCTAACTCCAGTCGTATTAATATAAGTTACATATTGTATATATGTGATGCTTTTAAGAGGTACAGTTTTGGTTCAGGGTAACGCCTTTACCGTAGGCCTGAGTGGGGTGTGTCAGTGTGTCAAGTATACGTATGGGTATTGATTTAAAATAACCTTTGTACACTCAGCGACTAGTGTCATGCAGCTATGCAGTATGTTACGCTGTATTGCAAACTTTTTTTAAATTAATATCGCTTGCTGAAAACATGGTTCATTCATGTTTTGTATGTACACTTTCCTGATTTATAACTTAAGAAATCCTCTCTCATGTAATCTTCTGCATGGTAATTTGAAAATATACTTTGCGTTTCTGGGATACATTGTAATTAGGATCACTTTATATTACAAAGTTTGGAATAAGCGTTTATTCAATGTTCTTGTCAAGTTCGGACAGGGAGCTTCCAGTGATTGTATTGTGGGTGGCAGGAGATGTCCTTTTAATTGAGTGATAGAGTATCCAAAAAGCTCACCAGGGAGTGAGTGAGTATGTTTTTTAAGCCGCTTTTTGCAATATTCCAGCAATATCACAGCGGGGACACCAGAAAGCTCACCATTCATTGAGACCACATTGTCCAACATCAGCACATTATACACAGGACCAGTCAGTGTATCAGAATGATTTGTTTGTTTGTTGTTTAACGCCGCACTCAGCAATCTTCCAGCTATATGACGGCTGTCTGTAAATAATCGAGTCTTGACCAGACAATCCAGTAATTGATAAGAGCATCGATCTTCACAACTGGGATACGATGACATACATCAACCAAGTCAGCGAGCCTGCCAAAACCATTTCACACAATAAAGTAAATTGAAGGTTATTGAACAAGATTATGTTAGATGGCGTGAGTAGATTAAAGAGAAACGAATAAGTTTTTTTTGTTGCCTTAAGTACTGAACCTCGTCCTGCACCATGACTGTGGAATTTATATTTTTAGGTATTATTAAAAGTCTAGGCAAGTCTAGATGAAACTAACCAAGTCTAGTTTGCTTGGAGAGGAAAGGTTCTTTCAAAGAAGAACAAAATATTTAAAGACATGTTTTCATGTGTTAGTCTATACTGAACCACGTGTTGGAATTAGTGAATGAACACAAGCCACGGCCCGGGGATTCATATTTAAAACTTTATAAAACGCATAACGATTGAATGGAACCGCTTTTGAGTTTCTTGTGACTGACAAATAACATGTATATCAAATGTATAAATTGTTAATGTTAATGTTTGCACAAATAAAACATTATTTTATGAAAAATGCAGTGTCCATCTACATCTTATAAAACATTCACATTTGCCCAAACATTGTAACATCGGCACACCGACTTCTAGCCATGTCCCAGCATTGTTTCATCTTGTTCTTTGAGCCGCTGTGTTGTTGGCGTCTTGGTTGTGACATTACAGAAAATGAAGTGTTATAATATGTCCAAACCATTTATCCATTACCCTTTGACATTAACACCATGTGGAGATAGACACACCTTATATCAAATATCCCACAGTCTCTGACCAGTCATATAGAAAGTAGTACCACGTGCGTACCACCACGACCAGAACCTTCTCATCCAGCTCTCAGACATTCAAAACAGGTGGCCCTGATTCCAGAGTCCGAGTTCTAGCTTACATCCAGCCTTGTTGGCGATAACATGTTGTGGCATGGACAGAGTATGGCATATACATTGATAATCTGTTTAAAACGTGTTCTGATGTCATACTTAATGAGTGTTCCGGTACCCGTAGTTCCAATTGCTTATATGAAAAACTTGGTATGATTAGTGTCATTTTAGACCCACTATAACTCCCCAATCTTAGAAAATCGGCCATCACTTCGGGCTTTCCGTGATATAACGGGAATATTGTTCAAAACGGCGCATCAGTGACCAGAAAGATGTCCAGTGCAATTCCCTATTTTGACTTGTATAATGTGTTCCCGTGTTTCACTTGCTTTACAAATCCGTGAAGATCCTGGCTAGAATAGTTCTCCAGCAACCCATGCTTGCCGTAGCAAGGCGACTGTACTTGTCGGAAGAGGCGACTAACGGGATCGGGTGGTCAGGCTTGGTTGATGCATGTCATCGTGTCCCAATGGCGTGGATCGATGCCCATGATTTCAGTCTGGTCAAGACTCGATTATTTACAGACCGCCGTTATATAGCTGGAATATTGCTGAGTGCGGCGTTAAACAACAACTAATAACAACAACCTTGCTTTACATGTGTTTGTGACGTGTGCCAGCGACAGAAAACGCTCACCTTTTCGCGAAGAACTGTTATTTTATCACTATTTAAAAGTGATTCACATACACATGCTCACGATATAGTTGGAATCGTACACTCGACTCTGCTTTTGGCAAAGATTCCTTCTTAATATGGCAAAGGTTTTGTTGCCCTTGTTTAAAAGAAACACACTCACTAAGTAAAGATAATTTACGTGTTCTTCGTGATGGATTGAATCTACAATCTATCCTCGTGTATAATGTGAATATGTAGAAGTTGATTTGTACTACGCAATATCAATATGACATGTTGTCCATGTATCTGGGAACTTCCTGTTTCAGAGGATGTATATCACAGGGAGGGCATTGTTCTTTCTGGCTCTCGTCGTGTCAGTCATCACAGCGGAAGGTGAGCATTGTTTTACACTGACATACATTGCTGTACATTTCAAATGGCCCAATTTGCTTATTATATACACAAACAGTCCGACAGCGCAAACACACAAAAACTTTGCTTTCAGAAACCGTAAACAAGGAAATGGCCCGTTTGTTTCCTTTATAAGCAGGAAGTCAGAAAACGTGTGAAGCATTTAACTGGTGTTTTTGCTGACATATATGACCAATAATATTATCATGAAAGCATCTTTGGAAGTGAGAATTATTCTCACGACCGAGGTGTACATGTCACTTGTTGAATCTCGGTTGAAATGGGAGCAAATCTATAAAAATATTACCCCCGGTTTAAAAAGTATTTCAGCTCTCTTATAACATGCCAGTTTTACGTGGGAGGAAATATATATATATATAACATTAACGCCTGAGAATAATCAGTCTCGATTAAGCCTATCTGGCGAAACAGGTTCCATTGGGCGTCCAATAATATTCTTTATGATTATCAATAAAATTTAAGCGACAAAAACATTTTACACAATAATGTAAATTTAGGATATTGAACAAGATTATGTTAGATGGTGTGAGTAGATTAAAGACAAACGAATAATATATTTTGTTGCCTTAAGTACTGAACCGGGTGCAGGAATTACTGTATGAACATCTTATAATACATTTATATTTGCCCCAAGTAAAATGAGTATAAATGTTTTCCAAAAATGTATTCAACCGGCATTTTCACAATTTAATCTCAACACTGGTTTAATGTCTTCAAAGCAGTCGGTAACAACTTTATCAGTCGGTTATATGAACTCTCTAAATGAATTTCAGAACAAATGTTTCAAATGTTCTCTTAATTTCATATTTTTCGAGCGTGAAGGTTTCTGTTCTTGTGGCGGTCTGCTCAAACACGCATTAGAGATTCAATTTTGAAAAGGAGGATTGCTAAATGGGTTACTGCCCTCGTGATCCTTGTATATACATATGTGCACCCCGCGTTTCTTAAAGAGTGTACAACCCAGCATTACGACACAACGGCCCATTATGTATCTCATAAAAATGTCACTAACCCCATGATTCTGGCATTTCGCACTATCGGCATCCTTTATTACATCTATCCGACACAAAGAATAAATTGAGCCTATGAGCTTGTTATCATAAGAATGGCTTTTAGGCCATATCGCTCCAGGTTTGAAATTCTCACTCACGCTAATGATCCGGCATTGACAACACGTGTAGTTTCTGTAAATAAACCCCCCTAATGCCCCCTTCCCAGCTAGATAACATGTGTTTATTTCGCTTTCAGTTCTCTAAACAAACCCTTGAGTTTCTCACTGCCGTGTCGGCATCACCACTACTATACACCTCTGTAAGCAATCCCAGCCACCGTGACATTTGTATAGGCCATGTGTTCTGTAGTGTGGGGGAACGTTCTGCACAAGGTGCTGTCTATACTGCACCAGAAGAGCCGTGGTAACATGTGTGTTCAATCTGAATTACTTAACAATGCAGGAAACGTATAAAATGTTCTCAGGTGAACGATCTTTGCTTGAGAGGCATTTTTATGTGGCCGGCAATATACCATCTTACACCTGTGGTACCTTTGATATTGGTAGAACATTTTTACGATGAAATTTTATTATATTGAAATTTATTTTAATTTTTAAATGTGAGTAAGAGAGTATGAGTTTACAATATAACGGTGTGTGTGTGTGTGTGTGTGTGTGTGTGTGTACGTGTGTGAGTGTGTGCGTGTAGATATGTGTGTGTATGTGTAAGTATGTGCGTGAGTGAATGTGTGCGCGCGCACGTGTGTGTGTGCGTGTGCGTGTGCGTGTGCGTGTGCGTGTGCGTGTGTATCTGTGTTTGAGTTACACCAGGAAAAAATATCCCCACATTTCAACCGAAACGATTTCACCGTCATTGAATGTTCTTATTATACTATCTCAAAATATATTACTCAAACCACGTTACAGAACATTCACAATTAGGCTTGTGTTGCAATACTCACCAGCCATGACAGATTAACTGTAGTCATATGAAAACATCAGGTGTTCTTTAACTTCTTTTGAATAGGACAGACACTGCCTGAGACACCTGTTTGATTTGTACACACTTTACATGAGCATATTCCCATACAATATCACACATACACTTTCGTTTGTTTTCAGTAGCTACATATGTAATACATAACACAATTTCTAAGACGTATATATGTATGTGAAGAGAATCTTAGAGCATATCAGTTATTGAACTAAACATTTCTCATATTACCCAGCCAATAAATGGCTGGAATCTCACTCACTCACTCACTCACTCACTCACTCACTCACTCACTCACTCACTCACTCACTCACTCACTCACTCACTCACCATTTTTACCACATCAGCTGTAATACTATATAGTCTGACACCCACAGTAAACCATACTACCCATTCTTATCCAATATACCGTTGAATACATGTCCTAACATTATTGTTACATCAAACATACACTACTTGGTTTTGTATTTCTATCACATATACATGTCCTGAAACCCACAGCATATCTTGTGTGTTATACATGAGAAAATACCATTTACGTTATTTCTCTCCAATAGCAATTACGTGTATAGTGTTCTATATGCAGCTAACGCGATCAGATTAAAGTTGAACGATGACATGTGTCAAAATTCAAAACTTAGGGCATTTTGGTATTTCTCGAATATTCGACAGTTAAGGCACAACCGAAAATTCGACACATCAGAGTTCTACAAATGGTGTTCAACTAAATTGTTTTCCAGAAGTTTTAACTTGAATGACATACAATTATTATTTTCAAATCTTCATAATTATTTTCATATAATGTTTATGTGAGACAACCGTTGATACTTGCTATGCAGCTCTACGGCAGAAGGGGCAGTCGGGTAGCCTGGTGGATTAAGCGTTCACTCGTCACGCCGAAGACCCGGGTTCGATTCCCCACACGGGTACAATGTGTGAAGCTCAGTTTGTGGTATCTCCCTACGTGATATCGCTGGTATATTGCTAAAAGCGGCGTAAAACCATACTCACTCACTCTAACGCGAGACCTGTACAAGCACAAACACATAAGATATCCGAAAGCATTTTCAGTTGTATTTGAAGGCTTCATTTGAATAAAAGGAAATGACAAAACCTGAATATTCAGGTATCGATTATGACAACGATACCCAAATCCTTTCCTTTGTTTCTGTGAACTATGACTTACCAACTCTGTTACAGACATCAAGGCATGTAAATTACTCAGTGAAACAGACACACAGGGCACGCAGGCTGACTGGACAGGTTACCGAGTTGTGGCGGACTTAGCCGAATGCGAAGCCCAGTGCTTAATGAACGACACGTGTTTTGCAGCAGAGTTCAGAAGGGATACCATGTATTGCTATTCCTATTCCAATGACACTGCTAAAACTTTAGAGAAAGGAGTTACTTTTCTTACTAAAGTCTGCCTCGGAAGTAAGTGCGACGTCACAGGCACGGTGTTTATGCATGGTATGTTTGACTGACCACCTGCATGGACGTCCACACTGGACGTCCACAGTGCCTGATACATGTAAACTAATACAACTAACAAGTGACTAACCAGATAACTAGACAAGCTGAAAGTGACACTTAGGAAAACTAGGACTAACTTGTTAATCATTTTAAATATGTAATCTAGGGGAACCAAACTATGTTCGATCAAGAAGGTAATACAGTAAACTACGTTTATAACGAACACGCTTATAACGAACTGATGGATATAACGAACATGTTTTGGTCCCGGCCATTTGCTGTATATATGCTGTATATATACATATAACGAACTACGGTTATATCGAACTAAAATCAGTGGTCCCTTTGAGTTCGTTATAACCGTAGTTTACTGTATAATAACTGTACTAACAACGGTGTAAATAATTGACTGTATGTGTGTTTGTGTGTGAATTGGCAGGTTAATCAAAATATTGTAAAAACATATATATATCAATACATATGGGGGGCACGGGTGGCCCAGTCGTCTAAAGCGCCAGAAACCTATGATTGTGGGTTCGAGTCCCAGTTCAACACGATTATGTTTCTTGTTTTATCAGCACCATACCCGTGCAGTAAACGTCTGAGACCTGCATCACTTCGAGCTTTCCTCCCACATTAAGCTAACACGCCGTGATATAACTGGAATACTGTTAAAAGCGGCGTTAAACCCAAACTCACTCACTCATTCACTCAATACATATGCACCAAGTGTAGAACAAAATATATTTCTTTTACCAAATGTCATTTTAACTTGAAGATCCAAGTAAACATCATGCTACTCATTTAATTTCCTTCTGTGCATGAATCTTTCAATGTTAAAATACAGTTTGTCCAGGGATATGTAAGCACTATAGTCCTTGTAGAAACACGACGCAACATTTGTTGGAAATACGGACCAGATGTCGTCCTGCTTGTTTATAAGAACTGACACAAATTGCTCGGGTTGTTACTTGGCCTTTTGACTTGCTATGGTCCCCAATGTGTCCATCGTTGTTCCTTTTAATCACTGACCATTATTCGCTGGCCGTCGTGAAATTGTTGGTAAATATTGTTGACTGTGGTTTTAAATGACGATCGTCACCAACTTTAACTAAATTTGTTTGATTGGCATTCTTGAAGTTGGCAAGATGAGTAAGAAAAACGTACAGCTTCATCGATGACAACTTCTGGTTTATTGGATATAACGCCGTTTCGAAGCAGATTCTTACACCGTTATCAAGCTGTAGTGGACCAGTAAGAAAAACATGCAACTTTATAGATAACAACTTCGCTTCAGCTTGATAACGGTGTAAGAATCTACATCGAAAAGGCGTTATATGCAATAAACCAGAATTGTTATCCACGAAGTACATTTTCTTATTTACCAAATGAGACAATAAACACGCTATCTACATTTGGCTCGAGTGTTCCAGGTTCACGTAGTGTTGGTTATTACTGCAACTCCACTTTTACCCATTCGGTCTTTTAATGCTGGATTGTGGGTTCGAATCCCGATTCGCCCTGATTATGTTTCTAGGTTTGTCAGCACCATACCCGTGCTCGTGGGTTTAACCGAAGTGGTAAACATCTGAGACCTGCATCACTTGGGGCTTTCCTCCCACATGAAGCTGACATGCCGCGATATAACTGGAATACTGTTAAAAGAGGCGTTAAACCAAACTCACTCACTCACTTTTAATGTTGATTCGAAATAATTCAAACTATGTGTAAAACATATATGGTTCGACCAGACCACTGAGTTCTCCTTCACTCGTTCCAGGTGATCCACCTTCCGGTAACAGAACAGATGTCGCGAATGCCACCTCAGATATGCTGCAGCCATCGGGCACTGTGGCATCCGCATCCTACATCGCCGACATGCTCGACCCATCAGCTACCGATATGCAGGATTTTGCATCCCTTGCATCAGCCTTTCCAAATCCACCAAACATAGACCACCTCGAGAGTATGGCGAATGCCACGTTTGGTAAAGACTGGGCAAATAACTCGTCAATGAGTAATGACAGTCTGCCTTCTGTTGAAGTGGCTGCATCTATGAATATCACTGATGGTTCTGATTCGATAAAGGGGTTAGATGTTTTGGCCAATGCAACCCACGTCACTGACATGAATGGATCCGTTTCCATGAACGACTCTACTGATTCCATGGATGTCAATGGAACTGTTGTTGACAACGCCAATGGAACAAATGTAGCATCTTTGGGTATTTCACCTTCTGGCACTGTTCCAGGACACAGTTCAGATGAAACACAAGGGGTAACTGGAAGCATAATGCCTTCACATACAGCTGGTGTTAGTATTGAACTGCCGACAGCAACATCATCATCACAAGGTGACGTGACACCTGGCATTGATTCAGTAGGACACACAGTTGTAACGGGACCCAGCGCAGGAGCATCTATGAGCAGTAAAGTCCAAGCAAGTTCATCATCATCTGTAGATGCGACAACATCTGTGACATTTACTCTCAAGCCGGTTGATGTAACTAAACCCCTAGTTAAGGATGACACTACTGCTCCACAAACACAAAATATCGTCATTGTAGACACAACGTCGCTACCACCAAAAACAACAATTCCTCCAACCACAACTACCACAACTACTAAACCGGCTGCACGACAACCGACCGATTCAGCTACTATAACATCTGTTCCTTTGGTTACGACTCCGCCTGTACCTCAGCCGTATGGACCACAAAATCCCTATAACCCATACCAGACTTATAACCGTTACAATCCCTATGGCAATCCACAAGGAGGGCCACGGGTTCCCCCGCAGCCCGGAAATCAACCTCCCCAGGTACCTCCTTATCCTCAGCCAAATCCTCAATACCCACCATATCCCAATCCCCAATACCCTCAATACCCACCGTATCAACCGAACCCTCAGTATCCACAGTATCCACAGTATCCTCCATACCCATACGGACCACGCTACCCCCAATACCCCCAATATCCACCATATCAAATACCGCCTCAAGGTCGTCCTCAACCCCAAATACCTGTATATCAGATTCCGAAAGGTACCGATCCTCCTATCAGAATTGAAGAAAAACGTAACCGATTGTGTTTCAACAGAGACAAATTCCCTGATTTGAAATTGCCCGAAGAAAAACCCAAGTTGTTCCTTATTCCTTCAGGTGATACGGGCAAATTTTCAGTTGTAGCTGTTCCTACTCGCCACAATCCAGTTATATGTTTCCCTGTTAGTTACCGTGGCAAGGTCCCAATTCTTCACCTTCCAGCACAGAATACTCAGGCTCAATATAACCAGTACAATCAGCAACAACAGTTTCCCTTCCAATTCCCCGGACAAGGAGGTCCCCAATTCCCCTTCCAAAACGGAAACCAGAATCAGTTCCTACCTGGAGCAACAGTTCCTGTGCCTATTGACATCAAAGCTTTCTTGGAAAAATACGGAGATATTTATTCCGAGACCACCTCCCCCAAAACAACCATCGCTGGTGGTGCTCAAACAACTTCATCAACACCTGATGACAAGGTACTTGGAAGTAATGACACCGTGGACACAAACAACACTGATTCCCAGAGTGCTAATATCACTGGCGGGGATGGAAACTTTACCTTTCCAGATAACCAAGGGTCTGTTAATGAATCAGTGGGGAACAGTACCCTACCGGATCTGAGTACCAACCAGACTATTCCAGAAATGATCATGAACAGCACAGATCTATTGGCCAATGTTACGTTATCAAGTAACAACACATTCCCTGATCCAAGTGTAAATGGAAGTGAAGTATTGGGAAATGGCAGTTTTAGTATAAATGGAAGTCTAGGTGAAGATATGCAAGATGTAAACGCCAGCTCTGTTGATAACTCTACTGTCTCTACCAACGTTTCCACTTTGATTACTGATGCTTTAAATCAAACAGAGTCAGTAATAGCTAATGAAACTGTTACTGAGGTTCCTACAAATCTGACATATTCGAACACATCAGACGGTGCATTGAACTCTACTGACACAATCCTGGTAAACATGACATTATCGAGCACAGAAGCCGTTCAACCAACCACAGCGGCGACTGTAACGGAGTCAAACCGCCCAACTTCTCCGCCACGCCGTGTACGCCCTCCGAGATACGGTCGTCATAGGCCAAACAGAAAGAAGCCCAATCGCAATCGTCCAAAGAAAACTCCTAAAAGCAAACCAAAGAGAAGGCGGAGACCACGCCCAACCCCCGACCCAATGGCGAAGTATAAGGGCAAACACCCCATGCGATATGCACGTCCACGATATTGGAGACGAAGGAAAAATCCTCGCCCGATCCGTCATCCTTCTTCAGTTGGTCGCAAATACCGATCCAGACTCCTACGTTCCCGGAAGTCACGTGAAAGAGCGTTGAGGTCTCGCAGACGTAAAGAAACCCTTTCGTCTCGATTCTAATATTAGATGGCTGATCTGACAATGAATATTCGTGAATATGATTGTAATGTCATGGTTGCACATCGATAATTTTTTAATAATAGGTCTGATCGAGAATGCTCTTTTGTGATAACAACTAATGTGTGATAAACGAAGGACGTTTATGTACGATATGAATGCCGTATCATCATACAATACCATTGTAGCATGATAACCATTGGTAACGTGCAGAATGACCATATGATACCCTTTGTCCAAGCCATCCCATGTTATGAAAACATATTGTTTACCATTGTTTGGGTCAAGCAGCTTTGAGGTTACGTACACGTTCTTTGTGTTTCCGAAGTTTGCCTGTATACGAAGCAATGTAGACATTTTCAGTAATCCACCATATCGGCCTTTTGGAAACAGTTATTATTTCTGCATGCCATTATTACAACTTTTGAATATATGAATATTTACTCTTCATATTGCTTAGTACTTTACTATTTTTAAACTAAAGCACGTGTTTCATTTTCGAAATATCGTCGTTTGAACATTCTTCAACCAACGCCATCCTTAAGGTGGTTGGTTTATGTATGACGTGTATTCAAATTTTTAAAAACCCATCAACTTAGTAAATAATTGAGTTTGAGCACACAATATGATAGTCCCTTTTGTCAAATGAAACGTTGCTGAGTTAACATAGCAGGTTTATTTTCTCCGTCTTAAGCTTCTTGTGGCTAATATAACGCAATGTATATGTTCTGTATAACCCAACTACGTGTCAATTCACTACCTTTACGAACACTGCGTGAGTACGAACACTATACAATCTTGAGATATTGCTACTATTTGAACATATAAACATATAGTTTATTATAAACTGGGGGGGGGGGGGGGGGGGGGGGGTGAGGGGGGGGGGGGGGGTGCGTGTGTGTACACCGAGGTTATTTTTATCTAATTAAAACCTGAAGGAACCGTTGTTAAATTTGATTATGTCAATCCGTTCTGCAACTGTTTGTAAAAGTAATCTGTGGCTGGGTAATTTTGAGTACAAAAAATTGGTTAAGACTGGGATAAAAAAAATGAACACTGACATGTTGTAAATTTGTCCCGAAAAAAGAAAATATATTGATTTTCAAAGATAAGATGTCTAAAATGTTATGAAATTTACTAAACGTTTTAAATAAATTTATATTTAAAAAAAAGCATTTTAGAAAGTATTCTTTGAGTTCCAACTTGGCTCCAGTTCAGTTCCTTTCGTCTGGAAATAATATTCCTAAATTGAAATATCTTCAATTGCAAATCAAACATATGATAAAATCAACTGGGAGGTATAATGTTTTTTGTCCCTTAGTTCATAAGCTCATTCATAACCAAATATATTTGGATATGTAATCAAATGAAAAATATCTCTGCAATGTATATCCGTTGACACATGCCTACTTTGACATATTACTATTTTACAAGTATAGAGTAGAAGTGTATTTTACCCATCATGTGAATCTGTCGTACTAAACAAACGATAGACATGCATGTTCATTACGTTGGGTTTTGGAGACTTCATTGTTTTGAGGTTTTCACTTTGCCTCTGGATGAATGTGTATTTGGTCCACACACAGCGTGTAATCTTTGCAAGATTGTAATATATGAAAATATTGATCATAGATACAGGGCTGATGATGTATTTTGTTTTAACAATAGAATTGACCGTAAACGGTTATCATTGTTGAACACATACTCTGTGTTTGAGAGTGTACAGTATGATGTTGAATAAACTTAGATTTCGTTTTATTGAGAGTTTGATTTGAAGAGGTGATATGTATGTAGAGGATGGTACAAAAAGACATTCGACCAACACAAAGACACGCCTGTACTGATGCTGAAATAATAGTCAGCTGCACTCAATGAAATGTGAAAGTTCATTCTATACAGTGAGTGTCTCCAGGTAGAAACACACGGCAATATGCAGGTTATTAAAACCTGGAAGTGGAAGTGTTCGGGGCACGGGGGGCCCAGTCGTCTAAGGCGCCGCGATTCGCTGTGCAGAGTTGCGTCCCTTGGGCACGCCAGAAACCTATGATTGTGGGTTCGAATCCCGGTTCGCTCCGATTATGTTTCTAGGATTGTCAGCACTATATCCGTGCTCGTGGATTTCACCGAAGTGGTAAACGTCTTAGACCTGCATCACTTGGGACGTCACTCCCACTTCATGGGGACACGCCGTGATATAACTGGAATACTGATAAAGCAGCGTTAAACCCAACTCACTCACACACTCTACCGTTACATTAAGTTTGAAAATACGATTTTGACATAAAGCATAAAGCATTCATTACAATCACACTTCATTTTCATAATTGAAGATGCTTGCGTTCTGGTGTACCCGTAAATAGACGGCTCTGTGATTTTTCTTCTTTCAGTGGCATTTAGAAGTTGGTGTGATGAAGTAAGACGAGTTCTATGGATGATCAACTTCTTTATTACAATTAGTGCGACGTTTCGGTGTAGATCCTAACAAGCAAGTTGATAAAGGTGTTAGGATCTACACCGAAACGTCGCACTAATTGTAATAAAGAAGTTGTTCATCCATAGAACTCGTCTTACTTCTGTGATTTTTCTTTGTTTGTTGTTCAACGCCAAACTCAGCGTTATTCGAGCTATATGACGGCTGTCTGTAAATAATCGAGTCTGGACCAGACAATCCAGTGATTGACATCATGAGCATCTGGGATACGATAACATGCATCAACCAAGTCAGCGAGCCTGACCACCCGATCCCGTTAGTCGCATTTACAAGCATAGTCGCCATTTACGGCAAGCATGGGTTGCTGAAGATGTATTTTATTTCGGTTCGACACAGGTCGGAGGGCTTTGTGAAAACCAATTGTTCCTGCTACATAAACATCTACATATACCTTGTGTGCCTTTGGTGCACAGTCGCCGTGTATCGGGGGTAAGACGTAACTGATGATGCCACAAGTTTAAGAAGGATGGTTGAACAATTGCTCAGTTGTCTGGCCTGAAAACAGACGCTCATGGACAATAAACCCTCTTTAGAATATTATGTTTATTTATTTTCTGTCTTTGTCACACAGAAGACTTAGAACCGAACTTGTTTATTGAACAGCAATGTTTCTAACAATACAGGTTTTATTAGTTTACAGCATAAACAATCGACACCCTCGTTGTGAACCATTGCGAAACATTACCGTTAACTGTTTATTCTCGTGCGTATCTGCTCATTGATTGACACACACATACATGTATATGTCGACACATTTCACAGCTGAGAAGACAGTTTCCTGACGGGAATGTGTTAACGTGGGTCTTGGAAATATGTTTCTCTTGTTTAATAGCGCGTATATTCAAAACCATTTATTCAGTTGGATTTATATAATGTCTAAATCACTTATCACGTGCATTCTGCATTGGTAGCAGGTGTGCCGGTTTCAAATAGGATCCGTTTCTTTGTATTGTAGATGACAGTAAATTCACGGTGGCATGTAAATAATCGAGGTCTGGACCAGGTAAACCTGTGACTTAAAACATTAGAAAATAATGCCATCGGTACGCTCATAGAGGCGAAGCGTCAAATCACAGAGCCTGGTGACCCGATTAAATTGTATCGCCCTCCTACGACCAACAATGGTGTGCTTGAATGTATTCTACGAACATTCTTCACAAGCTGTCTGGGTTGGAACATTGAAACAAAGATGAATAAGACTCAAAACATGCGCTATAACTAAGGATTTCTAACAGTTTTCAGTCACTGATGTGTCACTGTTTCGGTATAGATCCTTATACTGTTGTCAAGCAAAAAAGGTGAAAAACGGTCTACCATCCGAGTTGGGAAAGTAGACACAATGTATAGATAACAACTTCTTTAATTACTGAAAAGGCGACGTTTCGGCCTCCACCTCATGTGTTCTCTGTCCATAGTGTTGTTATAGTATTATCCTCTTGTTGTCATTACCTTACCTACTCATGTTACCCCACTCACGTATGCAATTGTTGTTACTGTCAATCCTCCACCTACTATACATATTCTGTACCATGTTCTTCATTCAAATACGCTATCTGTCATTGATCTGCTAAAGCCAAGAGATGCAATAGCGAAGGCCAAACTAACTCTATTTCTGAGAGATGGACAGCTACTCGAACGTATATAAACAGAGCAGCCGAAGATATAAATGAAATTATATCAATATACGAAAAACAAAATCGTATCAATACGAAAACAGAAATTATGTGAATACCAAACTCACACACATGAGTCCCAAAGAGGGACAGGTCAGCTGAAACTGCTTAGACAGAAGGAGACCTCTTAAACACTCAATGCAACCGCAACAGCCTCATTCAGTCTTGCTTGACAACGGCATAAGGACCTACACCTTTACAGTATTAAAGAAGTTGTTATCCATAAACTGTGTCTACATTGTCATCCGTCAACTTCTAAGTAATGCCTACCAAAGAATTCATTCCTACAACAAGCTTGTGCTTCATCTATCAAATTGATAACGTCCCTCCAATATTGTATCATCAGTTCTAGAATTGATGTGAACATTTTACCAATGATATTTAAAAGCTGATGACCTCACCTTTTACTGTGCCAGAACCTGCCATGACATTTTATATACCCGGAGGAATATTTTATATCATTGAGTCTTAAACATTGTATTGTATATTAATGTATGTATATTTTAATATTTAGCTTTTGCTTATGTTTTTTTTTATTATGTGCCTGTTTACAATGTACCGTCTCTCATAAATCGCTGTGCGATTGGTTGTATACAACTTTAATGTAACTATATTTTTAATTTGTTTTAACAAAAATGTGGCATACAAGTGAGACGTTAATAAAATCTTCTTCTTCTTCTTCTTCGTCACAACTGGGAATCACCTTGAAAAACAGACAAGGCTGCTAAGTTGTCGTTCATTCGGTGGAGGCAGAGTGATAACAGTTGGTGTTAAAAGCATGCTATAACTGTATCACAGAACTGACAGTCACCGAGACAACGTTTCACAACGATTGTTAATGATTGTGAGTTTAGATACTCCGTTGGTCAAGTACCTTGTATTTTTAGGAATTCTAGAATTTCCTTGGCCAGTCACAGTGACTGAGACTTCAGTCTATAAAACTAGTTTTCTATGAAGGCGTTTTCGTCTATTTTATTGTCCAAAATACGTATTTCAGGAAGGGGCCCGCTATTTAACCCAGCCGGGGTTATGCACTCATTAGAGTGTTGGGTTACTTAACTCTTAGGTGATAATTGGTCGCATCCGACTTAATTGGCTGTCTATGAATCCTGCCAATTATCTTGTCAAGGTGTTGATTTGGCTATTCTCTTACAGTTATTGTTGTACAATTGCTTAGCTAATCAGCTTGTATATTTGCTCTGATTTAATTAATCAGTGATAATTGTCAGTGTACCTGGTTTTTTATCCTTTATAGTGTCGTCTATAGATGCAGTTACCTGATAGTAATAAAACCGTGAACTTTTTTCACGTTTTTAATTATTACTTTATTCTTGTTTAATGACATCCTGGACAACAAACAATTCTTCTTGGTGGTAATGGTTTTACATGTAAGTCCATATGTACAGATTTACGTCT